ACACTCTACGTAGAATTAAAACGGCCGCGATTACGCTCTACAGAATATTGTTAAGCTCTGGTTCACTAGCAAACTAAACCTGTAAAGTATCAATTATGAGCTGTGTGGAAGGTCAGCCTTGCAGTAACAGTCACTTTTGTTGTATGTTGTTGTACAATTTTCAGGCAGGCTATGACAGACCAACTGCTCTTTTTTGTAAAGACTGTACATGTATTTTGCAGAATACATGTACGACTGACCTAAGAATGCCAACAGTTTGTGATTGACGATTGCACAATGTATGGTTGCAGGTTTGATCCCTTGCATTCCTGGCCATACACTTCACACAACTTTCCTCACTCCTCCTAGGTGTAAAATGGGTACCAGTGGCTACATTTGGGGAGGTAAAAGAGTGGAAGGAGAGGCTCCACCTTCCAAGATCATTCCAAAGGCACAGTTGATAAACCACTGCCTTTATGGCATCAAAACAAGGTCATAGGACTACCTTTACCTTACTTCAGAGTTACATGTTATTCTGGCTCCCTATTTGCCAATTTTTTTGGCGACGCCTCAGGGGCGGAGGCATTTGTGTAAGTACTGCGATCGCTTTGAAAGAATTTCAAAAATTGCATGAATGCATTCCCTAGGGAATTGGTTTTGAAGTAGCCTCCGGCCTTGTGGTCATCAGAACAAGCAGGAAAGGCTTATGTTACCATGCATGCAATAGCACCTTTTCGGGCAAACTGTGGCTTTTTGCACACAGAATATTAATGATTGTCTTTATTGATATTTCAAATATGTTTTCTTCTATCAAGATCAGAGAGAACAAATTTCTTACTCAGGAGCAGCATATTCAAGCTTATAATATTTCAAATGTGTTTTTAGTTGCAACTATATGATGCTGGTCGTTTTTTCTATAACTTTACTGTGTGACACATGTAGTGTAACAGTGATGTTTTGTGTAAGGAATTTTATTCACTTGTGTGTTTTCTATCATGTATGTTTGTGTCAGTCTTGTTTTTTTATTTATTATTTTCTTCGCTTTCATGATGCTGTTGCATTCCATGCTTGTTTTTCAATTTTGGCTGCAAAACATGAATGCACACCCCAATCGTTTCATGCTAGGTTTCATGCAAGGTTTCATGCTAGCCAGTGAACTCCTGCTGTAGTCTGCATCTCAGGGTACGGTGGACATGGCGAAGTTTACCTGTGGGTATAAAGAGAGAAAAGGGCATAAATGAAACGTATATCTGAATTAAGTTTGAATAAGTTCTTGTATTGTACTGGTAATTGTGAGTTGTTATGTATCACCTTATGGACAAAAATGGCTGTTTGAAACTTATTTATGTCATATACCGTCAAGATTTTCAAATCGTGAAATAGAACCATATCGTCATAATATTATAATTGTAATAAAAAGTTTAAGAGTATTTTATTTCAGTATAGCCTGGCAGTTAGACCATCGTAGACTGCCTGGTATCCGTACGGTGCGTTGGGTACTGCCCGCCCGCTCAAATCAATTAGTGCATGCCAGGGTGTTTACGGGGTTGGTTTTGTTTGCCTACATGATGACAATAACTAGAAAGGTCAACTGGAAAGATTCATAGCTAGTATGTCAAAAGAGGTTTATGTCTAGTATGGCTGGGGCCTGTAGAACAACCCTTAGAAAGCCAAATATGTATCTATCTGTTAGAACGCCGTGGTTAGAATTGCTTTGCTGTAGGTGGAACGTGTGTCAGAACTAGCATGACCTACGAATTCGGACACTATTCAAGCTCATGAATAGGTGAAATCTCTAACCTAACAAAAGCAGTGAGTATCAGACAAACATTTGGGAGGGTACACAAAATGTTTTAAGTTGAATGATGTTAAGTTGTCATGAAACAGGCATTTGACACTTTTGTAAGAAAGAAAGTGAAAGTACACACGTAGCCTGTGTAGGTCAAAATATACTCTTACTACTACAGGAATGGTCAGGGACAGGCAAGCCTAGTCAACCTCGGGTACAATTTCTGGATAAAGATATGGCTTTATATAAATTTTTCTAAGACCGCTGATAGTATCGACTTTCTAGCGAACATAAAACATGTAGTTAAGAATTCTTCAATGTAATAGAATTTTTCACAAATCACAACCAAATTGTACTTTCTCAAAAAAGACGTAAAGAATTTTTCTACGGACAATTTCCCAAGATCACAAGAACTGTTTCACGATGGTACTATGACTATGGGGAAAATTACCGTCGACATTATCGTAAACTGTAATACATTGCCAAATCATAGGTCATACATGTAATTCTTCTTCACATATAGTGGTGACCCCATTTAAAACCACAATTAACAACTTCTTAAGGAAGGGTTTATAAATACAAAAAAGTACTAGATTATTTGGCGACAGAATTGCAGGGGTACAGACGTCACGGCTACAATCGCAACATTTGTTACAGGTATGTAACACATCAAATAACATAAGGAAGTACAAAATAATATACGGTGAAACATACCTCTCAGCTTACCTTAGGCCTGGACGAGCCTGGTATGGTATTTATTAAACCATCGTGGGCTGCCGGATATCTCTGCGGTGCTGGAAGGACTGTACGGCCGCCAAGCATGGTCCATCCGCGGTGTCTTTCGTACAGGACCAGATCCTAGAAAGCCCGGTGTACTGGGCTGATGTGGCCATAGCCTCGTAGTCGTATCCAGTTTAACGTGGTTGGGGCCGGACTCTCTACGGGGGATCTAATAGTTTTTCCCCGCCGGCTCAACTGGTAGCCCGATGTGTCAGTGTCATGCCTGTAGAGTTTTTGCCAAGAGTTCCCTACCGAGCACACGTCTGTTCCACCACACAGCTACAGTCTGACTGGTTTAGACTTTTGTGAGAAAGAAAGCAAAAGGATGGAAGCTCCGCCCCCTATAGCAGTATCCTGTTTCCTAGATTCCATCCTATTGGCCTATCTTAGAATAACAGTAACTTTAACTGGGGGTATCTATTACCTCAGTGTAATATACACCACCCATCCAGGTGTCTGGCGTGATTAATTATTGCCATCTGCCATCCCCCACCATGGACAGTTATCCAGAGAGCACAGCCTCTGAAGCAAAGCAGTATCCTGTTTCCTAGATTCCATCCTATTGGCCTATCTTAGAATAACAGTAACTTTAACTGGGGGTATCTATTACCTCAGTGTAATATACACCACCCATCCAGGTGTCGGTGAGGAGTGGGTTTGTTCAAACAGATCACATAGAGAAAAGAAATTATACTTTCTTTGGGAACCCAGGATAGGTCAAAGAAGTCCTAGGAGTAACTTAATTGACAACCTCACATCAGACGTAAATTACAGTCTCTGATGGAGGAATATAGAGTGAAGTGGAAAGCGTTTTTTTGTTTGGTTCGAGCGGGAATTTGACCAAAGTAAAGTAACTATTATAGTAAGTATATCATCATATCGCCGGGGAAGAATGCTGACATGTATACAGCCTCACACTTCCTCCATGCATCCTGTAAATTCCACTATGTACAGGCACGCGTTTATAAAATAATAATCTGTTTTTCCTATTATTGTAATGGAGATTTCTAGCTCCACCACATGCAATAATAATCATTCAGTCGTGGCCTTGGCAATGATCTTTTATTGTCTGCCTCGTTATCTGTATCCCCGCCTACACACACGGTCCGGATTGGCCACCTAGGATCCGCCCCAGAAGCCAAAGGAATTTCATTCGTACTAACTAGTGAAGAACTCTGTATTATATAGGCACCAACTGACTAATCTCCAAGCAGATCCCAGGGTGGTATAAGACAGCCAAGGGTGGCGTATCGGACCATCTTTAGCAACCATTTTCCATCATGGAAATTTAGAACTGCCATATGCTGTAAATGTGTGTAGTTAAGAATATTGTACCGTAAGCCCCACCTTTAGGGAGGTACCTTCTGCCCAGCTTGACAGGGTTTGACAAATAGACTGACAAATAGCCCCTGACAATTATTTGGTAAACACGGAACAAAAAAACATTTTTAGAGGGCTCAGTGTTGGAAACAGAACTTGGTGTATGAGTATGTCGGTAAGAATGGACTTCCAAAATTTTTTAAGAATCATACCACGGATCTCAGTAAAAGCTTAAGAAGCATTAAATATATCTTGTTATGATTCTATTACCATTCCGCTGTCGGGAAGATATATAGATCCCAGTCAGTTTCTGACCGTGCCTCAGGTTTTATCGCATGAGGTGAGGCGCACTTTACCTGAGCAGCTGCTAATTTACGCCAGGCAATACATGGCAACAAAGAAATATGGTTTCTTATAAGTGTTACAGGTCTAACACGAGTACCGTCCCGCACACGTCAGCCGAGGTTGATGATGGTGGAAAGAAGCCGCATGCAATACTCAAACTCAAAATACATCCGTTGTTTATCAAGCTAAATTGAATGCATGTTGAATATAGTTAGCAAGGTATGCGACATTGTGTATGTTTGGTCGGGATTCGAACTCCCAACCTCTTGGTCCAGAGGCACGGTCACCATAAGGTATAGGAGAAACATGCTGTGTTTTAATTTAGGTCACTGACCGACACCAGGGATTGTACGATATTTACCTGGGGTGGGCTGGTACGTTGACGGGAGATGCACAAATAAAATCGGGGCCACCAACCAACATATTACAGAAAAAATCGTCGCCAGAGTCTTTTTTAAGACTCAACTTGTTATTCCTGTTAGTGTAGGTATTGAAATGCTCACAATTGGTTTTATTTTCTTGGTACACCTCTCCACCATGAATATGCATTTCTAATGTATGACACTACATGTACTACACTACAGTTTGGACCACAAACTTGAAACACCACAGAAACCTCCTTTTCTTTTCTACTGTGAACTTAAGTTCCCACAAAAATAAATTTATGGTATTTTTTTTTCAATAAACCAAGAAGTGTGCTTTCTTCCTACCGCGTTCTGATCCATCGGACTTACGTAGCAAAGTGACACAGACTTATCACACAGACACATCAGCACCAGAGTGTTACAAATGTCTATTAGCCAATTTATTTGAGAGTTTTCTCCATGATACATGTAGTTGTGTACAGGGTTGGACGTGGGTCCGTGAGAACTTCCGCACGGTGTGAACCATGGATGGGGGAGGGGGGTGTTGGTCTTACACAGAACATTTTGGCACTAAAACAAGAATAAATTACATAAATTACACTTACATATAAGCTAATAAAGCACACACGAAAGAAAATCACATTCCTTCAACATAGTTGTAACAGTTACACATCTAACCTCTCATATCATTGTGGTTAAAATTTTGAAAAATTATTAAATACACATAAGTTAAAAGACATTGACAGAGGTTACAACATGTTTGGTCACTATCTCAAGTTTTCAATCACCTCACCACTGTCTATATTCTCACAGACATAAACTGTAGCAGTACTGCAATGTGAGCAATTAAAGTATGAAAGAAGCTAGTTGTCATTAGTGTAACATTAGTGTGATTTTTAAAAATCATATTAAATTTCAAAAATAGAAATCTAGTCGTATACATAAACCTTTGGTCAACTCTAGCCTTTCACTCGACTTCTAATTAAAGAAGATGACATAAAAAAGTATCCTGTGCTACATAAATGTAAGAATTTCCAAATCATATCCTCCTAAAATCTGCCAAATCAAACGTTAGTGCAAGCAATATATCGGTACAGTAAGATTTCTACTCTGGTGTTAGTACAGTAACAATTCACAACAATTAATGACAGCAATTTTGAAAATTACAAATGTTAAAACCTATTTTCCGTCTTGCTTGCACCAACACTAAGTTTGTTCTACTGCGTACAATCTTCTATCCACCTCCATTCTCACCTGAGGTAGTTGCCGGTGCATTCTACTTTGAAAACAAACCTTTGTTATACCACCTAAATAAACACAGAAACCCTTCCTAAAAATATTTCACAAATCAAGTAAAAAATCCCTCAATCTAATATAATCACTGCGAGCCTTGTAATCAACACTGCCATCTTTGTTACTCCCTTGGGAGACGGTCATCATTTTCAACTGATGGTTCATTTCATTTTCACATTTTCTGTCTCTCTTCCAGTTGTTTTTGTGATGTTGGGAGAAAAAAAATTTGAAACTTTTTGCATGTCACAAAGCAAATATTTCATTGACGAATCAATGTGTTCTTTTTGTACAATGCATTGATGAAAATCCTAACCATATTCATTGCTTTCACGAATCTTGACTGTCAAATATGCTTCAGTCCCAATGTTCCCTCCCTCCAATCATCCATTGAATGTTTAAGGATGTGTACTATTTTACACACACTGTTCTATGTACTGTGTGGTATGACATGTTACTTGGAAATCAAAATGGCAATGTTAATCACTGAGCTGAATCTACCAACTGCATACACATACTACTACATGCAACCAAACCATACTCTTATAGCCTCTATACATACAGGAGAATAAAGGGGTCCCCCAAAGAAGGAAAAAGGAAAAGTAATCGGATTTGAAATCTCCATGGTACACACCGTGGGTAGAACCGCCCAAATTTGTAGCCGAGGCACAGCAAGCCTATAGAACATCTCTGAATTATTAATACAATTATTCCATTGCCTCTTCATAATCTTATCATACACATTATCAATAACAAGCTCGTTCATTTCTCCCTGCTGCCACGCTGGGCAGACCTTTCCGATACAAAAGCGGGTCCTTCTATATACATACAGTCTACGGTTGGGTGGAATTATTCGACCCTAGCACAATAACATGTCTGGTTTCTGATCATGGAATTCGAAATAGAAAAATACTTTGATCTACCTTCTATATTTGGTAGGCCTGCTATTGCGCAACATAGGCATAAATTGTCTGCTTCAGTTTTTTTGTGTGGTCCGGTTTACTGTACGTCATCTTAATTTGTCACAGGTTATGGATTATGATTTTTCGAGAATTAAGTGACGTTACTTTTTGGTGTGGTTTTTAATCAACGTTGTGATTCGAAGATGAATAGTTCCACCGACATTTGTTAGAACTGCTTGGTAGCAAGTAATTAGTGTGCCTCAGTACAACTGTTAAAATTGTAGGTTTTTGCTGTTTTCTAGCTACCATAAAAAAGCATACTGCTGTTTGTTTATTTGTCACAGAGACCTCCTCGCTTGGGTCTTCTCTTCCACTAGATGGTTTACAATCTGTTACCTTTCTTTTCTGCTATCAGTTTGACTAAATTTCTGAAGTACAGTTGTATTTCACAATTCCTGGAAGATTTGAAGACCTCAAGACATCATTGAAGGTCGTAACTGAACTGAAACCCTGTTACTGAAGCAGTCTTGTTCTCCTGTCCCTCCTTCAAGACAAAAAGGGGACCAGAAAAGGAAGACTGCCTAGTAAGTACTTAGTAGTTGACTGATGCGTTACAAACAAGTAATGCAAAAACAACTGAAGTGTATCCACCAACTGACCAACTTTTTGTACCAGCAAAATACAGTTTAAATGTTAGCCTGATTAAACGTGTTAATGAAATTATGTAAGTTGTAATTACATTGTATATCCAAGTTTGCATTAGTGCTGCTGGTCTATCATGTTTTCATTCTATCAGATGCTGTAGTAATGCTATGGATTCTGTAGTGCATTTGCTGGTACCAAAAGTGGTTTACAGAGAATGTCACATGGTAAGTTAACCTACCATACATGGCTGTTTTTTTACATGAGAAGACCTTTTTTGTGTGTGTATGAAAAGTGTATAAAACTGTAGGAAAAGTGGAAATCTAGCTGAAGCAGGAACTGCAAGTGTCAGGATTTAAGCTTGAATAGCAACAAAAGCATAGGAAAGGAGGTTGGAAGTTCGTGTAGGCCACACACTGTGAAAAACAGGGTTTCGGGCACACAGTCACATTTCATGTGAACTGTCGCCTCACTAGCGAGACAGACAGGGTTAAATACTGTGGACCAGATAACTCTGCATGCCTGTACAACATTGTCCATAGCTGTTAGAGCTCAGCCGTCTAGTGTCTGTGTTTTGTAGTTTGATTGCTAAGGTGTTGGTACAGGACTGAGGGTGACTATGGGATTTGGTGAGCAATCTTTACTCCTTTTACATCTTCAGTACAATTAGAATCAGGTTATTTGAAACTCTTCTTGCTGCAATTCATAAGTTAGGAGGAGCAGTACATTAAAGGAGTGTCACTGCATAGATAAATACTGCAATTTTTTTGCCAAGTTGCTGGAATGATTTTCACAAACACGTGTCAAGTTTTGCGGTAGTTTGCCTGGATTTTAAACTTGGGGCATAGGTCAAAATTCTTCAAGAAGTTCTCAATGACAACCACAAACCAAGTTGAATAGAGTGGAGATTTATTAGCTTTGGAATAAATACTAGGAAATCAAGGAAAAGGGGGTATGCCTGTGGTCTAATTTGCAGACCAAGTATGTCGATTTGTCATCAATTGTTGTAAGACATCTTTGGAAAGGGATCTGCTTGGAGATTAGAATTCAAGCACCCTCAATGAAAAATTCAACATGAAATAGCAGAACTGTACAAAATAACAGATAAATATCACAAAGGAGTAAAATAGAGTACTGAAGATGCAAAAGGTGAAATCTGCAGCCCACCATAGACAGTCTGGTGATGTTATTAACACTAAAGAAGGCTGACCGTTTTCTACCACAATATGTCCACTGTACATCACCACAACCATAGGCCAGCTAAAGTTGTGGCTCATCCACAAAATACACAATATACTCTCCTCAAGGACACATATAAATTAGACAAAAGTTTCCAACCCTAGATGCAATTACTGACAGGCAATAAAAGACATCACGAAAAGGAAAACAAGACTTAAATACACCTGTCTTAAAATGGTCCAGGCAAAACCAGGCTATGTCTTTGTACCAAATCACCACAACCTACAGAAGTGTTGGATAGTGTAAGGATTACAACATAGAACTGTTAAGGTGTCTAAAGTTCAAATACTTTTGTCAGTATTTCTATAATATATTAAAAAGGCAAAGTGAAAATAACCAACCCCTCTGTAGGCTATGATTGACAGCCGTCTATTGAATTTGGTACAGAACAGGTAATTAAAAAAGGCTGTGAGAGAAGATTCAAGAAAATTTATGCAACTTATGCGAAGTCATTGTAGTTTCAGTTTAGAAATTACATTTCAGATTATATTTTCATACTTTTCATTACCTTTCATCTTTATCAATCATTTTTATACATTAATTTTACCAGATATTTTATACAATTTCCATGATGAGAATAGCTAACTGGGTATATAAAATAAAATAAAACCTCTTTTTTGAGAAATTGAAATGAAACAGTGCACTCTTATCCAAGGACTGAATTCAAAGTTTTGTGCTTTTATAGCAAAATAGGGAAAATCTCAAATGTTTGAAGACGCTTCCTTTCTCTTTATCAGCAACAATAAGTCATCAACTTTTTCATGTAACATATTCAAAACATCATTTTACTTTAAGGACTTGAGAGCTTCATATCTCAACTATACAGAAATAATTGGTAACCGTCACTGATGCGTTGTCATCTGCTTTAAGGGCTCCAACAGGTTGTAAAAGAGAGAAGCAGGTATTTTCCTGTTGAATCTTCCGTGGAAAGTGTGGTGTGTTGACTGCTGTAAAGTGTGTTGTAGTGTGCTGTAGTCCGCCCAGTGATGTAACGGTCGCGCATGTGAAGCGGGACGTCCATCTCCAGTCAGTCACTACTGCTGGCACTCGGGCTGGGCTGGTGGAGGTGTCTCCGCATCTGAAGCAACAAAAACAAAAAAAAATCTAATCAAATTGCATGGTTTATTGCACAAAAGCATATTGCAGCCTGGCGGCTGAATTGCATGCTCATTTACAATCTGTCGTTGGAATAATAAACTTTGACTAATTATCAAAACAAGTACAATTCTAAAATCACTCTAATTGTAGCAGTGTGCAACAAATCTAAAATCACACTAAACGTAGTATTTCAATGATAATGTAGTTATACAAACTTAGTCAACTAATAGTAACTGTAGGCAGCCCATAAAATGGTGAGAAAGTTCTATTGCAACCTGTAGCCGAAACAGATCAGGAGCAGTTAGATATTCGAAGCATAGAGTTGTTACTACTGAGAGTCATTACTGTAGAGTCATCACATAAACATGTCTCTTGTCACGCTTTACATTTCGACACATGTATTTAGCAAAAGATGACATGTTCTCATCTCCAATATTTACAATTAAAGTCATTGTTTTCAAGACATGCATTGTGAAATCATGCCAAAACCCTAATACAATATACAAAAATGTATATATACATATATGTATTAGGTATGCAACTGAGTCATTATAGAAATAAATACCCCATCAAATGAATAATATATTAAATAATACAACTGACCAAACTTTGCACTGTGCTCTAAAAACCTGTATATTTGTAGGTTGCTAAAGATAGTAAAGGGCGAACTTTTCAATGTGACAGCGAAACAGCTTTGAGCGCTAAGAAATGTCTTGTTTATCATCTTGAAAGCTGTGGGAAAAACTCTCTGGTCCAAAAAAAGGACAAGGCCTTCCTGAATAAATAGTGCACGGACTGGAATAAACGAAGAGTACAGTCCAAGCAGAATAAGCTTCTTCCCCAAGAGCATTTACCAGACGACATCAGGAGGTATTGTCACATACCAGACTAGTTTGAGTGAGTCTACAGGAAACATCTGATAAAGTCGGACACTGGACAGCCCAAATATTTGCTGTCTGAAGTCTGAAGGCTTTTCCACAAGAACAAACTGACCACAATTAAAGAGTCCTGCAAATCCGCCTGACCCAACGTCCTTGGAAGGGCTCCTGTGTTTATTGTTGTTCTACATGCCTGACTTTTTTCTACATATACATGAAAAATACATTTGCGTCATCATGATTAAAGATATAACACACTAGTCAGTGTAGCAAGGGGAAATGTTGCAAGAGCAAGATGTACATGTGTACAAAATCACATTAATGCTTTTATTATCATAACTCCAATGCCTTCTTGCAATCTCTCTGTCAATATAGAAGAAAGATATGTTTATGTCCAAGGATAGTAAAAGTCTCCTGGTCAGACTGCACCCTACTCATAGCTGATTTTGAAATAACCAGGGAAATTTTCAGTCAAATTATACTTGACAAAGACAACACAGTTGTTACATTGTGATAATGTAAACGATACACAGTCTTGCCTAATACTTGTTTATAAATGTTAGCAGCGAGAATTGCTTCTCAGCACAGAGTTGTCTGAGTGACCATGTGTGACCTTGGAGTGTCCCTGAAACAGGTGGAGAACAAACATGGTGGAATCTCTGCCTCTCCACTGATGCCCAGCAGGTGTTCAACTTCCCAAGGTACCAAGCTTTTCATAATCCTTAGTTTTCAAAGCTCAGTGCTTATACAAAAGTGAGGAAAGCTGTCTAAAGAATACTGTGTAACTTGTCACTGTGATTTTGACAGGTGCCAAATGATTCATTGCAAGTGTTGTACTGTGAAAGATGAAAGGAGTGCATTCTTGTTCAATTTGCTGCAAATATATTTATTTTTTTTATTTCAGTAAAGAATACTGTGTAACTTGTCACTATAATTTTGACAGGTGCCAAATGATTCATTGTAAGTGTCACATATGAACAGCAAAAGGAGTGCATTCTTGTTCAATTTGCTGCAAATATATTATTTTTTTATTTCCTGCTTCAGTCCCATTATGCATACTTGAGTCTGTCTACAGTACATTTGACAAGGACTGAGTGCTTGTAAATATACTTAGTCTAATACTTGTGCATCTAAATATGGTTCAAATGTGTCCAGCTTAAGTTGTGATGTGGGACAATTTGACATCTTAATCACCCCGACTGGTCATTACCTAACTACAAATACGTGGGAAGATGCTGTGACAATAATAGAAACAAATACGTCTTGTATTGCCTCCAGCATCATTTGCACCAAGCCGATGCCATATATGGCTGTAGCTGTAAGTTGATTTTATGTAACAAAAGCTTGTTGAGACGTCATAGCCTTCGGCTGATCACATCACTTCACGGTTACCCAAAATCAGATTCAGTAGCGCCTACTACTAATAGGTGCAAACCAAATAAAATGACAACAGTTCCTATGTAACAACATCATACATATGAAATGAATGATTGGAAGTTTACAATAGTGATGTTGTATATTAGATGTGTCTCAATTTTTCTTGGTAAATACAGGAGAATAAGTGGATTCTATATTGGTTCATTTGAACCCAATTAAAGTATCACATGGTTATCCTCAGCATAGTGACACTTAGAAAACCATATGCCATAGGAAGATATTAAATCATTTGGCATGTGCACCTGACAAAAGAAGTCCATTTCCAACTAATTTCTGAGTTGATGCAATAATGTCTAGGCTTAATAAAAATTCTGGGGACTTACACAACAGGGTTATGAGTCAATAAGACAGTATAAAAAAGCAATTGTAGCACAGAAAGCTGACTTACAATGTATGTCCTACATAAATATCACTGCTAGCACTGTACATGTAGTAACATCCCAACATGTAGAGACACAGAGTAATTAGTTTGTTGGACTATATTGTAAGGTTTTAATCAGGAAGGCAAGAACTGAATGGCAACCATTTAGTTACACTGAAGCTTGTCACACCTTCAGAGAATATGACAGGGTTTTCGAAAAGATAGTTTATGAATTAAACATTGCAAATTCTCTGTTTGACACTTCTTTTGTTTTTGAACTTTGTTACTGTGATATCTCATTTTTGAAGTATGAATGAAGCTATAGGTGTCTTCATGAAAAGACAACACAGGTACCAGCCAGTTCACAGCACCACAATTCAACTGATTGCTACATCAATCTACGGGTACTACATCTTTCCTAGGACCCAACTCTGAGGTAAGACCTGTTTCTGTTGTTCCCTCTAGCAGGTGGCCATTTCTGTGAACTTGCCATTCAGCAACAGCGGGAGGTAAAGCAAATACGGCTGTGTGCTTATAATCATGGCTAATTCCTGGCCCACCACGCTCATGCGTCCGCCCTCCCTTCCACCTGCTGGGTGCTCGGCTGCTGTTCATTGTGCCTCCTTCGTCCAAAACGCAGCCGTGATTGTCAGTCACTAATGACATTGGGCCTGGTCCTTGCGGTCCGTGCATGCAGGTGATGATAGGACAGGAAGCATATTGTCCCCTACCTGTCCCATTCTGGCCAGGCCCTGTCTCCTTACTTCTCCTGCCCACAGTTTAGCCGGGGTGTGCATTGTGTCTGGGGCAGGCGACCTGGCCCTGAGGTGCAGCTACCATCATCTTCATTGTCCCCGTCGGGCAGGTGGGAAATTATCAATTTAGGATGTCTCTGATTACCTTCCAGGAGAGGAGATGACCTGGGTGCTTTGTCCCTCCACACCTGGACTATCACAGCGGGGACGGTGGCCCGGCGGGGGGGCTATTCACCCGCAACCACAGGTAAAGATGACATTGCCCACATACGCTACCCTCGCTTCACTCTTTGTACCTATACGCTTGCTGCCTCTTCTTTGTGTGCTTCAGAGGTACTGTAGTAAATATCTACAACTATAGGGATCTCAAAAAAGTGTTCTTGAACATGTACCCAGATACAAAACAGCCGTGTTCTGTGATATATGAGGTTTGGATTTTATTGGTTGAAGTTGGTTGTTACCAAGTTAACTCGTAAAGGAACAGAGAAAGGGCGTCTTTTGTTCTGTGGTGAAAACATAAAAGTTACTCTACCTGAACATAAAAGTTACTTCTACCTGAACATTTTTTTTGTTGTTGTTAACATTAGGCTATTAGCAAGACATTTTTGATTTACAGACATCAAAATGACTCAGGTCCAAAAGACAAGATGTTGGTTTAATTCTACGAGTTTTTATCTAAAAAAGCGTGCAAGGTTTTACACATTCATTGCAAGAGATGCATTTTAGTTTTTAAGTTTGTCAGTTCAAATACTGGATTTCAACTTAAAAGATGGTTTTCAAAAAGGATTTGCTGGACAAACTTTGCTACTCTCGGGACAAAAGAATGAGAGATCTACATGTAGACTTACAAATGTATAGCCATAGACTTGTAGACTATTGTATTATAATGATGAGGTTTTGCAAGATTATTACATAGTGTCGAAAGTGTTGAGCTGGGCTGCAGCCTTTTGACTGTATGGCAACATACAAAGTTCTTTAATTTCCAGAAAAATTCTAAAATTTTAGATTTTGTTGTGTCCTACAAACAGCAATGCATAAAGGAAGTCAATTTCTCATCCTACATGACACTGGGACAGGTATATATGAAACCAGTACCGTACTGGTTTCATAGTGGTTATCTATTATCCCAGTGTAATGTCTATTAATCTGGGCTGGCACAAAGGAAGGCACGTGCACAGTCAAGTGTTCCTCTGTCCCCATTTTTAAAGGGCACAGCAAAGTGATTTGAGGATAATCATGGCTTGCAGGTGCTAATTACACCCATTGTGCTGGGGGTGCTGCCAGGAGTCACACTTTCCCCCTGCAGGCAAATTCAGGAGGCCTCACCCTTTCCTGCCTAAAATCAACTTAAAGCATTTAGCATATGTGCAGGGAGCAGTATCAAAACACATTGGATCTTTCCACTGGGGGCTCTGTCAACAACAGGGCTCTTCTGACATCAGGTCCACAGTTAACACAGGGGAGTGCAAGTTCAAGACTGTTTGACCCAGTTAACTTCCCCTGTAATGTGCCTGATCCCTGCCCAAATCGGCGTGGCATTGACAAAGGA